GAAGAGTTGACTCATTGGAAAAGACCCTGATGCTGGGAGGGATTGGGGGCAGGAGGAGAAGGGGACGACAGAGGATGAGATGGTTGGATGGCATCACTGACTCGATGGACATGAGTTTGGATAAAATCCAGGAGTTGGTGATGGACAGGGAGGTCTGGCGTGCTGCAATTCATGAGGTGGCAAAGAGTAGGACATGACTGAACAACTGAACTGAACTGAATCTAATCTCTGGGTCTGGCTGTAAGTGCCTGGAGGGCAAAAACCAAGTTATCATCTTCTTACCCATTTCCTAGGACCCTTAGTGGAGGTCTGATGGGGAGGTGTTCCGGAGTGTGCAGGTCATTCCTTTGGTGTTGGCACACACCCACCGGCCCAGACCCAGTGCAGCAGGACCCAGTGCTGAGGGGGATTCCGAGTATTACAGTTGGGGTCTTATCAAGTTGGGATCTTACCCTACGAGGGTGTCCAATCAGGGAGCTAACACAGCTCAAAAGTCAGGAGTCATAAGAGAGGCACAGATAAGAATGCTGCAGGTGGTCAGTGGACAGGCAGCTCGTTTGCCACTGAGACTTGGGAACTTTGACCGAGAAAAGTGCAAGTGTTAGTCACTCAGTCGTGTCCAACTCTGCGAACCCATAGACTATAGCCCACCAGGCTCCTGTGTCCATGGGATTTCCTAATCAGGTGGTATATTTTACAAATTCATAGTGATATTAAAAAGTGTTTGCTATCCGCCCCTCCCAGCAAATTCTCATTGGATCTGGAGGCTAATTTTTGGAGGATGGACTGTTTCATCAGTCTTGTCCCGGAGGAGTTTTGAAGCATCAGTGTCCTTCCTCCACCTCATCATTGTGGGTCAGCATCCTTCTCCATGTCCTTATTGTACTTGTTTTATGTTGCGTTACATTCTCATCCTTCATAATCCTTAACTCAAGGGTGGTTGGGTCGGGCTAACTATTTCATTACAAAAAGAGTGTTTTTCATGAGCAAAATGGATCAATTGACATTAAAACACTGTGCAAGGCTGCTAGTAAAAGTAGCTAGAGAGCTGAATAGTAGGGTCGGTTTATAAACTCTGAGGACAGAAAGACTGTAATGTGAAATCTGGAAGTTTCATGCTGTTATTGTTGGTGGTAACATTGGCATGGAGACAGAAGCACACATACCGAGAAATCAGGTTTCCTTGTGCTCAGCAACAGGAAGCAATTTTTCAGAGCTTCTCAACTTTTGAAAGAGTGGCAATTTGTGCATCGCAGTTCTCAGGTATTAATAATCGCATTGCTGTTTCTTGAGCATTTTATAATTCCTTCTAGCATGCATCTGTGTTTAAAGGTTCTATCACTGCAGAACATAGCATTTTTTATCTGGACATAAGCTTGCAGGTATGCAACCTTCTATCATGACAAATAAAATGATCATTTAAAATGAATACATGCTTTCCAATGGCAAAACTAATGCCTGCTCCTGCTACATAATTTGGAAAATACAGAGAAACACAAAAAAGAAAAGAAATATTATTTTTGATCTCAGTACTCAGAGATATTGCCCAGATGCTTCTCAGTGTCTATATATGTATATTCATAAGGAGGAAGCACATAGTGATTATAGACATTGTGCTTTCTATGTGCCAAGCAGTCTGCATACATTCACTCATTAACCTTCGCAATAATCCTGCATACCTGGGATGATTAACATCTCTATTTTTCGGATGAGGAGAAAGTGAAAGTGTTAGTTGCTTAGTCGTGTTGGACTCTTTGCAGACCCATGGACTGTAGCCCACCAGGCTCCTCTGCTCAGGCAAGAATACTGGAGTGGGTAGCCATTTCCTTCTCCAGGGGATTCTCCCCACCCAGGGATGGAACCCACATCTCCTGCATTGCAGGCAGCTTCGTTACTGACTTAGCCACCAGGGAAGCCCAAAGTCACAAGACTGGGGTTCAAATCCTGGCTTTCCATCTTATGAAGTGTAACTTTAGACAACTCGCGTGACCTCACTAAGCCTCACTTTCCTCCTCTGTAAAATGGGGAGAATAAAAGTATGTCTTGGTGTGGTTTTGAGTGTTACAGTAATCCATGTAAATGCATTCAGAGCTGTATTTACAGAGTGTGATGTGGTAAAATGCACTCAGTATTTCTCAGCTTCTATTGTGCCCATTCCGATAGCTGCAGAAATGGGGACTTCTGCCCCTCACATTCCCAGGACTGCGACCAAGTCTCCTGGAATCGTTGAAGGTGGTCCTTGTAACCTGCAGCATGCACTCTGATGGGGCTGGTGGTGGGGGCCCCGAGGAGCTTGGAAGTGGGTGGGGAGATGGAAGTCAGTGGAGGATGTGGGGGCCAGGGCTGGTGAAGGGATGGTAAGATACAGACAGGGGCTGCGATTTCATAGGCCTGGAGCTGGGAGGGATGCTGGGGTGGAGGGTGCAGTGGGACACTGTGGGTAGCCACCCCCTCTTTTCCTCCTATTGCTTCCCTGCCCCCTCACCTCTGAACTATAGATGTGGGAGTAAGGGCAGCGAGACATCCCAGCTCTGTGGCCTTGTGAAGTTTCTCCCCATCTTTCCTTTCTTTCTCCTCCCTTCTTGGCTTTCTTAGCCCTCTGCTACCTGCTGAGCCAGGACCAAGAGGAGGAAGTCAGAGGCTATATAGAGGGGCTGCACAGGGCTGGGCAGCAAGCCAGAAGCCCCCTGGCCACCTGGAGGGGCCCCTGTGGCAGCCTGGCCAAAACTGGGCTCCCTAGGAGGAGATAGAGAGATACCCTGCGGGTGCGTATATATAGAACCTATTGGGAAAAGAACTTCTTTGTCAGGTTCGCCGTCTTTTATTGAAATTGATGTTTTGACTTTAAACAAAACAGCAAACACCATACCCATTTCTCAAAGGACAGTTTTGTGAAATATATCCTATAAAGTGTAATGTGAAGACTAAAGTCCTAGCCAACAGCTTGACTCAGAGAATTACGAGAATTTCCATGCTGAAAGGAGACTTGAAGGCCATTTGGTCCACCCACATCATTGCACAGATGGGGAAACTGGGGCCAATGGGTGACGTGCTTGTCACAGCCACATGGCTAGTTGGCAGGGTCAAAACAAGGACACATGTCCTAGCTTTCAGAAAAGTACTGTCTCCTGTTAGATAGAGATGATGGATGGGTGGATGGGTGGATGGGTGGATTGATGGAAAGATAGGTAGGTAGACAGGTAGATGACAGATAGGCAAACTAAGAAGGTATGTGTGTATATATTCTGTCTACATGTATCAGGAGGAGAGAAGCAGCCATAATGCAGTTTTACATTTCAATTCCATATGTGCCGGGATTTCCAATGCAGTCAGAACCTGTGGGATTTCAGTGGATCAAGATTAATAAGAGCTGTGTTACAGCAGCCTTATTCTTGAGCTCTTGGACCCTTTTCTCTATTCCACTCAGCTTATTGAAATACCTTGCAAGGAGCGTTAGTATAACCGCTATAGGCACTGGGATGTTCCCTGGAACATCTGGGGCTGGAGGTTTGGCTGTAATGAGCAAGCCTAGTGCCTTTCTGCTGCTTCCACAACAGCCCAGTGTCCCTGCAGGCATCTGAACTGGCTTTCGTGTGAGCAAACACTCTGCTGGAAAATTAGAACCGTGTCATGTGTGTCTCTCAGAAGCTTTTGGAAAGATCACTGAGATATGATCTATACAATTTTTAGATGGAAGACTCTGTAAGCTCCTCATATCATTATTTAGCATTATTAATGTTGATGGTAATTCTATGACAAAATTATAGTTATTAGGCATGTGCTGCCACCATTATACCATTATCATTAATTACAATAATTTAAGAAACTGAGGAATTACATAATGCTGGTTTATCTTGTGACCAGATATTTTTCTATCTTTTGGCAAACCAGGGAGAGACATTCTCCTGGTAATGGTGAGAAATTCTAAAAGTAAGCCGAGGCAGGTGTCTGAAGAGTGGGTGCAGTCCCCCTACCTCCCTCCTGCCTTCCTGAAACCTCAGAGGAAGGCTAGGTGAGTGCCTCCAAGAAGCCTTCTTCCCAAGGCTGCTCGGAAAATCTTTTCCCTAAAGGGCTCTTCCCATGTCATAAATTAAGCATAAATTTTATGTGGCAGCTCAGATGGTAAAGAATCTGCCTGCAATGCAGGAGATGCAGGTTCGATCCCTGGGTCAGGAAGATCCCCTGGAGAAGGGCATGGCTATGCAGTCTAGTATTTTTGCCTGGAGAATTCCTTGAACAGAGGAGCCTGGCAAACTACAGTCCGTGGGGTCGCAAAGAGACACGACTGCGTGACTAACACAAATTGTACGTGGTGGAGATTTGCTCTCAAAGCAAGTGGCCTGGAAAAACTCTTTTCTTTTCATTACAATGAGAGTCTTTGTTTTCCATTCAGAAGAGATCTAAAGACCTTTTGACATCTTGGTGTTCTATTTCTTCTTGTTCTGGAAAACCCTCATCTGCTCCCAGATAAATGACATATCTCTTGATGAACCCAAGTCACTTCAGTAGGCAGTCACTTGAATGGGATTTTATTGTCCTTTCCAATTAGGGCTGCACTTTTAGTCATTCTAGCTCTCATAAATGATTGAATTATTTTTTTTTTTTTTTACATATTCAGAAGGAATCTACATTTAAGAATCTACCTTAAGTAACTGAGTATCTTTATTGTTTTTTGGGAAAATGTCTGAAAAAAAATAGCAAGGCAAATATAATAAATCTAGTAGAATTTTATGACCTTAATGGACTCCAAACCCCCAGATTTCTTGTTTAAAAAATTGTTTAATCAGTGGTTTACTCTCATCCATATTTAGCCTAAAATATCTGCAAAATCACAAACCAGTGCTAACTTAAGTTCCACATTTATCGGTACTGGTTCCATGAATGAACCAGCCAGCACATTCCAACACTAAAAAGCTTTTCCCAATTTACAAGCAATTTAAGTTAATGAATGGAATGCTTGAAGTTTTTTCTCACATTAAGCATGCCTAAATCTTTGACTTTCTTATACCTATCGTAATCTAGGGAAAGTGTCATTTTGTGCAGATTTAGAATGTTCTATTTAGTTGATTTAATTACGTGCAGTACTTTAAGTAGTACTTAAGTACTGCTGTGGCACTGTGGGCAGCACCTCTGTGAAGATGAATGTACTGTTTTTGTTTTTTGCATGCCCTTCCCCCGTGTCTTTTGTTATACTTGGATGGGACTCCAGTGAACTCTGAACCTACTTAAACTCTCTACCACTCAATAAATGTTGACAATTACTTGTCATCCCCACAGGAATTGTATCTCGCAGATTCTCTTAGGGCTTTTTATTATCACACCCCCCCTTAAGTTTTCAGTTTTCTCAAATACGGTTAAATTACTCATAGGGAGTGAAACCAACATAATTCTGAATTTATATGAATTTGACTACTCTAGGTGCCACCTGTAAGTGGAATCATACAATATTTGTCCTTGTGTGAGTGGCTTATTTCACTTAGCGTAACGGCTTAGAGGTTCATCCCCATGATGTAGCATTGTCAGATTTCTCTTCTCTCTTAAGGCTGAGGAATATCCCATTGTATGTAGATAAATGTTGATTTATCCATTCATCTGCCAGTGGGCACGGGGGTTGCTCCCGGCTTTTGGCTACTGTGAGCAGCACCTCTGTGAACATGAATGTACTGTTTTTGTTTTTTGCACATCCTTGCCCTGTGTCTTTTGTTATACTTGGATGGGACTCCAGTGAAACTCTTTGAACCTTTAGAGGAATTGAATCAAAGAGCTAAGCAACTCATTTGATGAATGTAAGACTTTAGGGTAGGTGTGTGAGACAGCACACGAGGTGTTCGGCGAGGGGGAATAATAAGAGAATACCATAGTTATCCAACCTAAAGGGACTTCTAACTTGCAAATAATTACTTTATTTTATATGTATAATTTTATTTATGTATTTATGTTTGGTTGTGCTGGATCTTCATTGCTGTGCGAGCTTTCCTCTAGTTGGCCAGTGCAGACTACTCTCTAGTTGCACTGCACGGGCTGTTCATTGCAATGGCTCCTCTTGTTTCAGAGTATGGGTTCTGGGGCGCTCAGGCACATGGGCTCCCGAGCTTTAGAGCCCATGCTCAATAGTTGAGTCGCGCGGGATCTTTTTGTTGCGATACACAGGCTCTCTAGTTGGGTTGCGAAGGCTCAATAGTCGTGGCACTTGGATTTAGTTCCTCCAAGGCACATGGAACCTTCCTGAACCAGGGGTTGAACCCACGTCCCTTTCATTGCAAGGTGGATTCTTGCATGGAGGCGTTGACTGAGAGGCCACCTCAGGAATGAGCTGGTGGGGCACGTGTTCGAGTGCTTGCCCAAATAAAGAAGACTTGCCTAGATCTGTACCAAGAATAAGTTTACTTTTAACTCCCGTCCCCTGCCCTATGTACACCTTCAGTGCTGAGCACTGAAACTTGATGTTCGTGGGAAGAATCCTGAAATTCTTTCTTAATCGCCAATGAAAGAACACATTCTGTGTTCTACTTTTTGTTATTGTTGTTCAGTCACTAACTTGTGTCCAACTCTTTGTGACCCCATGGACTGAAGCACACCAAGCTTCCCTGTCCTCCACGATCTTCCGGAGTTTGCTCAAATTCATCTCCGTTGAGTTGGTGATGCTATCTAGCCATCTCTTCCTCTGTCACCCTCTTCTCCTCCTGCCCTCAATCTTTCCCAGTATCAGGCATCTTTCCAGTGAGTTGACTCTTCGCATCAGGTGGCTAAAGTATTGGAGCTTCAGCATCAGTACTTCCAGTGAATATGCAGGGTTGATTTCCGTTAGGATTGACTGGTTTGATCTCCTCATAGCCCATGTGTTCCACTTACCTGGTCCTATAGCAGAGGGTATCATGAGAGGCCCCTCCTGAACACCACCGTGGGTTGATCTTCAGGCAACTGAATCACACACTGATGTACTTTTCTGTTCCAGGACGTGGGAAGAAGGCAAGGTGCTCATCTTTGATGACTCCTTTGAACACGAGGTGTGGCAGGATGCCACGTCTTTCCGGCTCATCTTCATTGTGGATGTGTGGCACCCCGAGCTGACACCCCATCAGAGACGCAGCCTTCCTGCCATTTAGCATTCTGTGCAGGCTCAGGACACGCTGGAGAGAGGCCACCTTTTTGGTTCGGTCTCCTTGGATGTGGGCATAGACCTTCAAACACCACAGCCCTTAATTCTCTTGATTTGCAGCCTGAAAAATTCTAAACCTCCTCCCAGGGATGGAAAACACTAAAGGGAATATCTGCCTCACTGCAATTCTTATAGAAAATACCTGCCATATTTCATCCATGACAGCCCCCATCTGATGCCTGGATTCCAGGTGAACTCATGATAGCTTCTACCTTGCCGGCCAAAGATATTTTTTTCTCTTAGAATAGGCAAAATCAGTATAAATGAGAATACGTGTAGAAACTGTGAATGGATTGCTTTAGTTTGTAATTTTTCTATGCAACTATATTTTTCTAGGGTAGCTGGATGGTTTATCATCACACATCACTACTTTTTTGTTGGGTTTAATGACAAGCTGCATAAATACTTCTGTTTAATGGTAACTTTCCTGATGAACTCAGACTTCCCTATTTTAATTATTTTTAGTAAAAGGCAGTCATAAAAAATTATATTTTCCTAATACAAAGCAGAAAGACATAATTATGCCAATGTCTTATGAACGATACTGCTCCTCACCCATTGAGTCTCTGCTTTTTTGTCTTCGCTAAGAGCTGGTGTCTTGATTTTCCTTCTCTGTGAATGGCAGAAATATTGTCAAAAATGGTATTTCTTTCTAAGCGGAACTTTTTACACTGAAAAAGGACCTGGAGTCATTTTATATTGAGTTATAACAATGATGCATGTAAATTTTTTTAATGACAAATATCAGACATTGTGGGGAAGAAAACGAAAATTTCTCCAAGTGAGAATTTTCTCTTGGGATCAGCTCAATGCGGGGCTGCTAGGATCTCTGACTTCTGGCCGCTTTGCATCTATGAAGCAGGGTTGGAATCCAGAGTGTCTTCTACTGTGGATTCTTGTGAATGAGAAGGTCCTTGAAAGGATTCATATCACAACTTTGTAAAATTAAGAAGGATGACAGAGTGGAAGGCCAAAAATGCCAGGATGTCTGTCCTGGGTATAGGATGTCAAAACTGTTTCCTCTTTACAGTTGTTTGGAGGACTCTGACATCTCCCTGGCTTGAGAAACTTCTGCCATTTAAACTTCACTTTGAGGTGTCAATTATTATTGATAGTTTGGTTTTAAATTTTGCCATTGCTTAGAAAGAACAGTTGCCTACTTGTTCCAAAGCTGACAACATCATTAATTTAGTGGAATATTAATGCATTAAATTTTGTGTGTTTTAAACCAAAGCTAACTAGAAATGTTAGCTATAAGAATGTAATGATATTCATGCACTGAATTTTAAGCCAATATGAACAAAAATGCTAAAGAAATGACACACAGGTTACCATGCACAGGTAGAAAAATCATTTGTGTTTTGTTTTCTTTTCTATTGAAGGACAAAGAAGGATGCTTCCTTTATATTATTTTCTTTAAAAAACCCAAAACAGTTCTTTAAAATGCTATTGGACCGCTTTCGCTTGTCCTTAGGGATGTTAGCTTCCCTTTGAAGAGTTGCAAAATATTTGTCTTGTTTCCTGCTGTTTTGCCAATGCTGAAAAATCTGTCTAAAATAGTTGAAGAAGCATTTGAGGAAAAATACCAGAGTGAACTACCAAAGTCTGGAAGGAAAAGCAAAAACTTGAAAAATAAAAAGGCATTTGTGTCCTTCAGTATTTATTGAACAGAAGAAAGGACCGACAAAGGACAATGCAATCTAGTGCTCCCGTGGCGACATCCATGTCACTTACTGAATTTGGTTCCTGTATGTATATTGCATACACATAAAGAAATTCAAAGTAGCAGTTGTCACTGTTGAACCATCATCTTACATTCATTTAATGAAATCATGGAATAGAGTTAAAAACAAACTCTTAACTTAATAATTATTATATGGTATTTAAAATCAGGTCACTACAGTAGGATTCTAAATATTGCCAATTGGAAAGCCAGAATTATTATTACTGTTGCAAAGTGTTTGGCAATAATTGACTCCAGTAGCATTTTAAACACTTGGATCCCACAACTGTTTCATAAACTCAAGTAATAAAATGGGTTTTCTAATTTGCTTTAAGTCTTCATCTTTCTTCCCTATGTTGTGTTATATAAGAAAAGTCAATGCATTGGTAGAATTATTTCAGTATTAGTATTTTGTTATTTGAAGTGTTTACACAAAATGAATTGGTTTTATTTATACTGTGATGCAATTGATTGGGAAATATTTTAAATTCTATTTCAATTTTATTTCAAGACTGGAATACAATAATCACTTCTATTATCATTTTCTACCAGTAGAAAAAAAATTAAAACACTAGATCTCTTGAGAAAGAGATGTGATAATTTGTTAAAATTAGTAATAATATCTGCTGAGGATGATTATGGCCAATTGAATCACCTCTTTTCTTTGAATTTTTTTAGCCAACAAATTGACCCTCCCAAGTACTTACAATCTAAAATCATGTTTTACTGCTCATTATCAACTATTAAGTATTTTTTCTTTGACATTGAGCACCAACTGGTCATAGTAATGAAGGCCCATGTCATGCAAATGGCTGGGAGAATAAGAGATACAGCTAAAAACATACAACTGGTTTGGGGAAACATGGCACATGTAAGGATATCATATGCTATGATATCTGTTTATTTTTATCTAGTTTCCTTTGAATGGATAGCTGGGGACTCCATTTCTAAGGAAAATAAACAAAGAAATAAAATGATCTTTGGCATTTCATCCTGCATTCCAAGTCTTCTCTTATTTTCAGTTCTTGTATATTTAGCCATCCTTAAAGATCTTCCTCCATGTTTGATACCTACCCCCTTAACAACAGCCAGGTCCATCCTTTGCACCTTTAACTGATTGCAGGAGGGAGGTGGGGGGACGTAGTGGGTGTGTAATGCTTTTGTAGCATTTTTCTTGCCATAGTGACCTAAGTGAGGCAACTTGAAAAGATTCATTAATCACTGACATGTATTTTCAACATAACCCCCTACCCTCTGGAGACATACATTCCTTGTGGGAAGCCACATCGCTAAGATGAAATAGTCATATCTCAATTTGTGTGTCTTTGTTTCACATTAGCTCATGATAATCAGCTGGTGGCCTGATCAAAGATGTTACATCAAAATCATTTTTGCAGGCTATCAAAATAAACAGACTCTGCAAATAGCCAGACCTATAAGAGCATGCTCTTAGGCTGAACAATTTGAAATTGGATGCTGGTGATGAGGTCAAAGAAAATAACTTGATGTAGGAATGAAGATTACTGGAGATACTATTGTCTTGGGGCTTTGCACTACATTAAACTTGAAAATTGTGTCTGCACAGTTTAAATTCTTATGGATCTACTTGGAAATGCACTTAATTTTAAACTGCAAAAACTGGAGAGCATCTCTTCAAAGCCTCAGAAAAATCTTTGTCCTAATGAGGTGTGTGCCTCAAATTTAGTTTTTCTCTTTTCAATTCATTTAATACCATAAATATGGGGTGGGGGGAGTCTTATTTCCATGACTACCTTGCTTCATCTTCCAATTCCCTCACTGAAAAACAAAAATGCATCTCTCAAGTCTTTGTTCAACTTTGGCTGCTCAGACCAATGGCTGGTGACAGTCATTACTGGGTGGCAGGAGAGGAGGCCCTTGTGTCGAGCCGAACGCATGAGTTGTGTGGTCAGTTTCACATGTGCTTCCTGGTGGCTGATACCACTGAGAGTTGGCGACGTCGGGAGCACAGGGTGGCTCAGGGTTCAGTCGAGAGCCAGGAGTGGCTGGGTATTCTCATTCTCTCCCTTGTCCTCATGTTTCAGGGTCCCAGCTTCTACCACAGACTGAGATCTAATAATAGGAAAAGGAAAAAGATGTGATTACAGACAATCATGGTACTAGCCATTTTTGGAATCTTGGAGGGCGTTCAGACTTCATGGATCCCTGATTAACCAAGACGCTCCTCTATACAACTTCTCCCCCTTGTGTATCTCTATTTTCCATGCTTTTGTGTCTCCTACATCATGTTTTTAGGGAACCAAGCATCTTGGAATTTTCTTTACAGGGATCTCCTTTTGATAAAACACACACATGTTCTAGCCACAATTCTGCCCCTTTGTCTAGACACTCTGTGGATCTTGAGGTGTATAAAGTATCATAAATTTTGCTGAATTTTTAATGTTTCAAAATACTTTTGAGAGTCTTTGTTTCTCAAGGTCATAGGAAACTATCATATATGATGTTAATAGCACAAGATGTAGAGTCAGGCTGTAAATGTATCCCTGACTCCTTAATGAGTGAGGAGTCTTGGGGAAGTTCTTAGGACTCTGAACCTTGGTTCTCTCATCTGTAAAACAAAGCTATTACCTGTTACCTGTAGGTAGCTATTACCTACCTCCCAGAGTTGTTAAGAAGGACTAAAACTAATATTATACATAAAGCATTTAGCATGTAATTGTAGTCAAAATTTATGGAGCACTCTATTATTACCAATATTGCAATAATGTCAGTGATCTTTAGTTTCTGATGTGTCCGTTTATACTGGAGTAATAATTTCTTGTGTTTATAACCCAGATTGAAATTATTTTCCAGGTTTATAGAAAGAAGATTATAAGAGCTATGCACACAGTAAACATTCAATCAACGTTCATATACTAAAAAGAAAAAGCCACTCAAAGCATTAAGAAAATGATTGAAGTGGGTTATTCAAATAAGCAAGACTTACATGTAAATGCAGTAAATGGGTAACTCAGTACACCTGAGTTTCCCAAACTCTTCACATTCTGAGTCTTCAGGACCGTCCCTTGACTAACTCTTTTAAACCCCTGGAGTATCCTGCCTGATAAAGTGTCTTTGTATACTTGAGGCTTTGGACCATGCCACATGGTTTATTTTAACAAGGTGATTTATGATGAATGTCTATTTTTATATGCCGGGACTTTGGGAGACATCCTTTCAGTTTGACCTCCTGTTGGGGGAGGTGG